GATCAATAATAATATCACTATAATACCCGATTGAGTACGACTGCCTGAGGACCATCTGGCGGGACTAACAAATAATGTCGCAGTTGGCTACGCACTGTGCTAATGAAAGTTCAACATACATAAATCCTCTCTCAAATTAAGCACCTTGCGGATCTTGTCAAGGAGCATAAACCACCATGTGAACTACGGTTATCTTCGCAGCGGCTTTTGGCTGTCTATCGAACAAACACGGTCACTGCATCGCACGCTTTCAGATGGGCTTCAGCGGCCGTCTGGAATGTTCTTCCTTCCCGATATTAGGAAGCCACTGTAGCGATGCACTTTTAAATCTAGATTTAAAACTCATTTCTTTAGAACTGCTTTTTGTGTTTAGGTTGTTATCCTTCCCCCGCACCTCCGATTATCACGGTTGGCTACGTACGGTGTGAACGAAGTTGGACATACATAAGCAACTGGAATGTAACCTTGAAATGCTTAAAATAAAGTTGTTGTGCCTACCTATCTCCTCTCATATCACTCTACTCCCTTCCATGAACTCTCAATTATAAATACCCAAATTTGCACCGTTTGCTCAAGGGGAGGTTGCTCTTTTCGCATTGTCTGTGTATCCCTTCCTCAGGCGAATAGTGCTGTCAACTCCATGGCCCTGTTCAGGTTCAGGCTCAAGACTTTTTGCTTTACCTCTGCCTATATTTGGATGTCTCTTTATCTCTATAGAATAAATATCTGAATAAACATGCCTTCTGTCGCACTATTTTGACCAGTGTCTTCAGATGTGATTACATTTCGATATTAATATAATAAACTAGCCTTTTGCCCGTCCAAGGACGGGTGTATTGCAGTAAATCGGAAACTTGCAAGCGAAAAGCAGACCGCGACGTGATATTCATTACATTTGTAAGGGCGCGGTGACACAGACTTATTTCATTTCAAAGTTATAATCCCTTGTTCATCATGACGTCCTTTTTACTTCGATGTCTCAGTAGCGTCACGGAGATGGCGTGACGTGAGGCTTCTGCCTTTGTAGTGAGGGTTGTGAGTTGACGCCGAGGAGGGAGGAGGAGGCGCCTCGGCCCCCCATGTCGAGTGACGTCAGCTGCTAATTATTATGAATGGGGGGGGGGAGTGTCCATATGGAGGACGTCACCTGCTCATGAATATTAATCAGGGGGGCTGGTTGATGTGGCGTGACGTCACGAGCATTAAGGACAGTCACTCCTGGTATACAATATTGTATTGCATTGCAAAGTGCATTTTTAGAGGCTGGTGTGGATTAACTCCTCAGAAACTGCAATTAAAATGGCTGTAAGTGGAGCAGTTGTCTGCGTACTATGTTGCTACATTTACAAGAGATACTTCAAAAGGGGAAATGTTTAACTGAGAGAGCAGGATTGGGGGTTTATGGCTGTTGGGAAGCTCAGTGATTAGCGTATCATCCACAAAGGTAGAAAAACCTTGTATGCAGTAGATTTTGCAGCCATCAGGCAGCCATCAGGCAGCCATCAGGTATTTTTTTTTCCGAGGAACGATAAACACAAATCTGGCATCTGCTGTAAAATGTATGTCAAAGGCCGTGTGACAGTATCCAGGGCACTCCGTGCCAGTGTCATGCATGTCTCATTTATTAAAATGGGCCGTAATTCATGAACTCTGTCTACCCTATTTTTCTTTCAGAAAAAAACACCACGCCCATCATTAACACTGCTTATATGAACATATTTTATACAGTACTTTAATACTTGTGCTTTATACATTTTTGTCAATCCACTGCTGGATAACGGCCACTTATTCTGTGTTAGTCAAGGGGGTCATTTGATTATACTCTGCCGTGCTGGTCAGTGTGGGATGGCTTCTGGACATCTGTGAAAACTACTGGAGAAAAAGAGCTTCACAGCTCATCAGATTCCTCCAGTATAAATAAATATTCAGATTCTGGTGAACAAGTGGCCCAGGACCAGCTTGGATATCACCCGCCAATGATGGTCGGCTTGACCAGGAATTGAACTCAAGGCGCCAGATGCATGGGGCAGTGTGCCATTAATTGTGCCACCACTCCATCCACATATTAGTGGACCGGTTAAGATATGTTTATTTGTAATCTTCAACGTTTTATATATATATAGCACCACAATGGGAAGGTTTTAATCTCCATTTATACGCTTATCACATTTTTTTTATCTCTATTTATATGGGCCATGACAAATTTTCGTGAATTTCCATTATATATATTCTTCTGTTATATGAGTACAGAAGCAGAAGTATGATTACAGCACAGTAACATTTGTTGACGGACTGCAGAGGATCAATGACAAACTGTGCATGCTCATCTACACAATCTGCACTGCCCGATCTGGCTGATATGAGCACAGCACCAGTTTCCCCAAATGCCGGACGCCATCATTTCCAGACAGCAGGAAACGGTCACCTGATCATCCCACGCACCAAGACATCAAGATACGCCACCCCCACCCCTGCAGTATTACGGCATCACCTATCTACACATTCGCCGACTCACTCACCAACTCATTTACCCAGCCACTCACCTGTCTACGTGGAACTCATCGCGAGTCACTGTCCGTGTTTTGTGTCTATCCGTCTTGAGATATATTCAGTATAACGATAGTGCCTTCATGAAACCCTTTGTGCCGTAATAATGGCATGAATACCAAACGTACGTCTTTGATGTATTTAGTTATGTATTTTTTTATTTGTATGATTAAATTATCCTTGCAAAAGGAACAATGATTACCAAAATAAATATATCAACCCAAACACAGTTTTAGAGAAATATCACAACCCTCCTTAACGCGGGCAATTTTCTGTTGCATAGCACAGAATTCCTAAATTGTTGAGATGTAAACATTTTGCCACCAACAATGTTCTACTCCTAAATCATGCTACAAGTATCGATCAAACGGCTTTTTGGAACTGTTTTCTGTACAAGGCTCACATACAGGCATTGGACATCGCCTGTCACCAGTACCAGTAGTGTGTGGGTCATGCAATGTGGGTAGGACACCCACAACCAGAATGGGTCGGCTGTTGCGAAGCAAGTGAGCATGACTCAAGCATGCTGCGTGAATACGGTTCCACGCTGCCATTCACTTTTTTTTCTTACGCCGTGCAACAAAGTAACTGCACATGCACTTTGTCCACTGCGAAACCTCGCATTAAATGAACGGTGCCCCAAGAACCAGTAAAACTGGGTGGGTACCCTGCTGGAACAACCGACGAGCCCGCAAGGACTACATTCTGTTGGGAGATGAATTTTGGCTGTGCAAAACAAATGAGACCAACACGGAGGGATCTTTGGCTAAAAGTCGTGGGAGAATAGCTGTGTTGACAGTAATACATAGCACTGTATGTATGCATCAGTGTGTGTGTGTGCAAATGCACGCAAAGTACGATTGTCAAAAGTGGATTACATTCCGGTCATTCTCTTATGTTTAACACTGGACACGGATTTGCCATGCGCCAAACTTTCCACAGTCACTGGCGTGATTGCCACCACTGTTTAGTAATGAACAGTGATTATTGATCATATCTGACTGGGCAAGCAGCAGACATCTCTGCTTGTATTGGACGGGTTACAGCAATTAATGTATCGACCGGCTATGTGCAAGCTACCTGCATTGCTATGGACAAGCTACCTGGTCTGTCACTGCGCACAAAACTCTGAGTGTTCATGGCCAACTGTCTTGACAACAACCGTCTACAATTGTAATGTTTGTTGAACTTCGTTCGCACCGTAAGTAGCCAACCGTGCTAATCGGAGGTGCAGGATCCCATTGCATACATGTCAACCACAAAGGAGTCACATCAATAAAATACCTCCTGAAAACCTGAGGAAAACCACCAAGAAACTTAAGACAGAACCCAAGAAACTTAGGCACGAACATATGTAACTGTCATGCAGGCAAGGGTGAGTCTACTGTGTTGGAGAAAATATGGGAGGGCGGGTGGCTAAATGGGTTTGCCCAGCAGCCAGGGGCTAATGTCCGCCACTTAGTGAACACCCCGTAATAATCATCATCATCTTGGAGAGTTGGAATTAGTTTTCCACTTGTTTCTCATAGGAAGGCCGCCATAAGCAAAAACGAAACTTTTTAAGATGACGATTTCATAAGGCCTGCACAAACAATTGGCAGCAGCTACCGGCGAGGCTCGGAAAAAAAATTTGTGCCGAGTGACTTAGTTTCGGGTAAACAACACACAGCGTGAGATTCTATTGCGGTGAAAAAAAAACCTTCTCACGGGTAATCCTTGAGACGTTACATTTATGCGAATTGCATGAACATCTCTGCCAGCTTCAGCCTTTCAGCTGGCCCGTCTGCATTCCGTTCTACATTTGTCCAGACTAAAGAAAGATGACAGATTTTAGAAAGATATGGCTGGCCATGCATGCTAGGCTGTGGTGGATGATACGTGTTCGTATGCCCAGATACTGCGTGCCTATACAGCCGATGGTTTGCACGGACCAAAGAGGTCACACAGGGTGCACCATTGATCGCATCGGTGATGTCACAATCACATGAAAAATCCAGATTAAAGCAGTAACTCGTACATAGCGTTACACATCAGGAGCAGTATTTCGATACGGGTGGAGTAATAATAATACACGGTCCTTTTATGGCATGCTGTGGCGCTCATGAGGGCTGTTGAATGATACTTCACCGTGCTGATCAGTGCGGGTTGGTGAACGGGAGACACAGGACTGGTTCACGTACCGCTCGCCAATTGAAATTAACCAAAGCTGGGAATCAGACTGAGATCGCCAGAATTTAAACACGCCACTCCGCCCCTAATTTAGTGTGTCATCACACGCGAATGACAAGTAAACCTGTGTCAAAATAATCCATTCAGTGAGTTTACACATTTCATTGTCCAGCTCTCAAACCTTTGCCTCCCTCAGGGCCACGTACAGCTCATGCAAAAATGTGCATCAGACAAGAAATGTAAAAAATATATATATATACGGTAATTCAAAAACAATAACTTACCTCCCAAGAACCCCGTGGATGTCATAGAAGTCCTCCACTTTCAAACGGCAGAATTCGGCCATCGCATTTCCGGCTTCACTGTCGTCTGCTGATATGGGAACTCTGCAGCCCATGTCACGGCATTTCCATCGTATTTTGTTTAACTCTGAAACTGAAAGAAACAACGTGTTATCATTCATAAGGGGAAAACATTTCTACATGCTTTGAAAAATACAATTAAATGAAAATGCAAACATAACTAAGAAAAGTTTGATCAGTTCCGAAGCACACGCTGACCCATTTCAGTTTTTTCATGAACAGAATAACATGGAGCTGAGACTTGTGTGTAGGAGGGCTTTAAACAACCACACAGTTTACAATCAGACCCCTCCTCCTACCTACCCACCCACGTGTTGCCCACCCTTCACCCCAAGCCACCAACCTCCCTAAAGTTCACTAACTGTTAGTTGCATGTGTGTAAGTTGTGTGTGTATGTTGTGTGTGTGTGTATGTTGTATGTGTGTATGTTGAACTTATTTCGCACCGTACGTAGCCAACCACCCTCTGACACTGGTTTGCTTGACGCTGGGTACTAGAATTAAACAATGGTTTGATGGATTAATGAATTGCAATTATTTACTGTATTCGCAAGCTCCATTTGCATTGCCAAACAATGCCAAACAATGCAAATGCGTACAGTAGTATAAAATGAAATAACAGCCACTAAAACTGCTTTTGCAGCCAACCGCAAGAGTTAAAACTTCCCCTTTTAAATGGTGTGCACACCTTTCCGTATCACGCAGAAGAATCAACGCTAAGTAAAACATAAAGGGCAATCACATTTCACGACTAAATATGTACGGAGCAAAATTTATCTCTGAGTCCATGGCCTCGAATTCAATAAGATGTTTATGAATCCTAGAGAGATGTGTGCAACCTCATAATTCTTAGCGTTTACTTATTTACAATTTGTAGGAGATGAGTGGCCCATTTCTTTATACATCAAGGCAGCACAACTTATCTTCGAGTTAACTAGGACTTTTGAATTGAGAAAAATTATAAATAAGTAATGATGTTTCAGCAGATTATTAATGTTTAACATTAATGTTCAACATTAATATTTAACATCATTATTGTTCAACATTAATATTTAACATTAATGTTCAACATTAATGACATCCTAATCAAAATGTTTTATTTTTCTGCTGCCGAAATGTGTGGTATTATCATTGTTTCTACTAGTAAAACGAATACAATTGCAAAACAATTGCAGGCTTTAAAGAATGTACTACCGCCCCCATTAATACACCAACAACCCTAAAATAAAGTTTGACGTGTCTTTCTTTAAAGAAAACCGTCCTCTAAATACTATATATTTGTATAAGTACGCATTTACGTGAAGTTGAATAATACATATGTCAATTTAAATGTCCCGTTAACTTAATGACACACTCGTCAACCATGCCTATTCACTGCCGCGGAACTGTTGTGAGTTTACTGAAAATATTTTAAGCGGAGGATAGTCATCTTTGATGAAAAATTAAGTGTCAAATATCGTTCATACGCATCTTTTTTAGACAAAGTACACAGTATTATATTATGCACCTTATTCCAAAAAATGTGTTGAATTTTGTAGTCATGGGGAAGTTGGCACAAACATTGATCGTACTTTCTGCGGGATTGTATAGGCGGCTGTTGTGCAGACCGTAAGTGCATTAGCATCAGAGAAACAAACTGGAGCGAACAAAAAGCACGACCATTTGTCAAGCGTTCAACACCCACCCAGTGATTCATTTGTCACGATCCGAGGTCACAATTCTGATTCTTTTAGTTCGTATTGTTTCTTGTTTTTTTTTCACGTGCTTACATTTGTTTTAACACTTCTCAGAATTTGCAACAATACCACAATAAATGTGCCTCCGGGCTCTGGTAGACCACCTGGAGAAGATTCCAGGCACGTGTTGACAATGATGGCGAACAAGTGGAGACCTTTTGAAGCTATTAACATACATTTGCTATCATGTTGCAGTGTATTATCCATTCTTTGTCACATTAAAAACAAGTCCCATCTAAGTGTTAACGTTTTTTTGAAGCACCCAGTACAGTTATTTGGATACACTCTGCACAAAATCAAGACTATCGTACAGACAACAAAATTCCACGAGAGATAATTTGTACTAGCAAGTCGTTTTTGTTATGTTTAGAGGAAGCTGGAATCTTCTTCTTCGTTAATATGGAAAGCTGAAATTAGCAACGTCATACGTGTGTGGATTTCGAGGTTACTGAGCCATTGAGTAGCTTCTGTGGAGGCTTGGTGGATGTTTGTGATATAGCCAACGGATCGGCCGGATGGGGAAGTGTTGGATCGGTAGTCTGCCTCTGGTAACCGCAGAATTTACATTGCAGACTGTTCTTTATTTCCCATTAATGACAACTAAAACATGCACCTTGCACGTCACTGCATTGCCAACAATTGTGACTCAACATGAATAACTCAACTCACCCAAATCCCCCTGACCCAAAGACCCAAAAGTACAAAGGTCGACCTTTCGTCACCACCAACACCATGGTAGGACTTTGAAGAGCGAATAACTCAACTTGGTCAAATTTCGATTTAAAGCTTTCGTGACTGCAGGGATCCATCTTCTTGGTTCTTTCGGTAAAGTCACGTAGAAGGGAAGCAATAAAATAATAAAAATAAAACATGATAAAATAAAATAATTCTCTCAATTATTATAATTCTCTCAATTATTTTATTTTATTATGTTTTATTTTTATTATTTTATTGCTTCCCTTCTACGTGACTTTACCGAAAGAACCAAGAAGATCAACTTGGTCATTTTACTATTTTGTAAGCGAATACTTTTTTGTTAGTTATGACACACATGACCCGGGGCAACGGGGAAGTTTGGTCAAACATACCCCCAGCAAGCGCACGGCGTCATCCAGCGGTGATTTGTGCGTGTACACGTGCCCTGTGTACACGTGCCCTGTGTACACGTGCCCTGTGTACACGTGCCCTGTGTACACGTGCCCTGTGTACACGTGCCCTGTGTACACGTGCCCTGTTTACACGTGCCCTGTTTACACGAACAGCACTGCTCTATTCGTAACTCAATTATCACAATCATTGCATTGCTCATCACATGCGATTCATGAGAACGCGTCGTACTGCCCGATTACGTACGGCAACATCATTAGAGGCAAACATGACGTTCACGTTTCAGGGCTGGTGCTCTATTTGAACTGCAATGTCAAAGTCTGAGGGTGCGGTGACAAGTTTATTTAACCACGTAATTATTTTATTGTTAAAGCATTTTTGCATCAAGTACAACGTAAAGACCTGCAGCCTCCCTGCGGCGATGAATACCCGTGTTGAATACCCTTTTAGCGAAGCAGACAATCATCTTACAGCCCAACGGGATGGAGTTGCAGGCTCACTCACAACGCACGCACGTGCCACACCAACGTGGCTTCACAACTTTTAAACAATGTTGTTGTTATTCTTGGCTGTGGATTTCACACCTGATGATAATTGCTTGTGTTGCAGTCGAAACGTCGTGAGGATTTTTATTGTTTTATATGTATATTATTTTATTATTTTCCTTCTACGTGACTTTACTGAAACAACCAAGAATATGAATCCCTGCAGCCACGAAAGCTTTAAATCAAAATGTTGTTGTTGTTTTGAGACACTGCATTGGGCAGTGGTGCACCACTAACATACAAACAAACAAAAACTCTCAATACATTCGTCACTCGAACGCTTCCGGGAGAGAAGAATAAACAGTGGACGGCGACGTTTCGGGTAATTGCCCTTGTTCATATACCAGTAGCGATGCTCTTTCACGAACGTGTTGAGTTTCCCCGTCTTAAACCCGTGCGCTCTCAGCCATGAGCAGGCGTCTGCGCTGTTTCTCAATTCCCTTTACCTCCTTGCCTCTTCCTCCCTCCGGCTTGTGAAGAAGACCCGGACTGGGACGAAGGGCTTATTGCTTGCGGGGGAGCAACCTGTGTAATTGCGTTGACTTTACATGAATTGGTGCGCATCATGCGCATACCACTACAACGCGCAGCACGCTGCGTTACGCAGAAACCGCCCTTGCTTCATCGGTTGTATTGCCACGAGACGACTCCCACATGTCACATTGCCTGACATTCAACAGCGTAAGCGTCGCTGTGCTGCTGCGGGACTGTGTGTGTCTGTGTGTGTCTCTGTGTGTGTGTGCCTCTGTATGTGTGTCTGTCTATCTGTGTCTGTGTGTGTCTCTGTGTGTGTCTGTGTGTGTCTCTGTGTGTGTGTCTGTGGTGTGTCTGTGTGTGTGTTTGTGTGTGTGTTTCTGTGTGTGTGTCTGTGATGTGTCTCTGTGTGTGTGTTTCTGTGTGTGTGTCTGTGATGTGTCTCTGTGTGTGTGTTTGTGTGTCTGTCTATCTGTGTGTGTCTCTGTGTGTGTGTGCCTCTGTATGTGTGTGTGTGTCTGTATTTGTGTGTGTCTCTGTGTGGTGTGTCTCTGTGTGTGTCTCTGTGTGTGTTTGTGTGGGTGTCTCTGTGTGTGTGTCTGTGTGTGTGTCTGTGTTTGTGTGTGTCTCTGTGTGGTGTGTCTCTGTGTGTGTCTCTGTGTGTGTGTCTGTGTGTCTCTGTGTGTGTCTGTGTCTCTGTGTGTCTGTGTGTGTCTCTGTGTGTGTGTCTGTGTGTAGCGGTTAGCGCGCTGCGCTATGAACCCAGGGACCCGGGTTCGATTCCGGCTCACGGCCAACACCCAGTGACGATTATCTAAACCGGTCCTGGGCCTGCCCTAGGTCGACTCAGCCTGAAATGAGTACCTGGTGCGGTGTGTAAACATCGTCACTGGGGAGACAAAGACGGTCGGGCGTGGTGCTGGTCCACCCACCCCCTCGTGTACCTTTCCGGCCTTCATAGGTGCTCGCTAACAGCACTTGCCCCTATAGTCTGTTAAGGCTATACGGGGGATCTTTGTCTATGTGTGTGACTGCACGTGGGGAGTGGTGGTGTAGCGGTTAGCGCAACGCTGCGCTGCGAACCTGGCGACCCCAGCTCGACTGCCGCTCACGGCCACCACCACCACTGATGATCATCTGAACCGGGTCCTGGGCATCCCTTAGGTCGACTCAGTCTCAAATGAGTACCTGGTGCGGTGTGTCAAATCATCGCCGCTGGGGGGACAAAGGCGGCCGGGCGTGGTGCTGGCCACCCACCCCCTCGTGAACAGCGCTTGCCCCAACAGTCTGTTACAGGCTACACGGGGGATCTTTGTCTTTGTGCAAGACCGTCTGCGTACGCGTATCCACTGCATCAGGCACGAGTCATTGTGTCACAATTCCCTGGCTGGACGAGAGGTCCTCTTCCAAGCCTGGTGGTGGTGGTGGTGGTTTACGTGACCATACTTCACCACCCCGGTCCATGCGGGATTTGACACAGAGGCACTTTAGAGCGGGCGGTGAAACACGATAAAAAAAAAGATAACCCAGGCACAGAGCAATACCATCCGTTCGTCCGACTCACCCCTTACCGGAACGTGGGGCACACTTGCGCGTTGAGTGTCGCACCTCTGCGGGTCCGAAGTTTCAGGGAACTCGCTTCTCGTCCGCGCTGCTGTGATGCGGCTAACTTCGGGGCGAGTTTGTTCGCCGTCTCTCTCTCTCTCCCCGCGCCTGTGTGCGTGTGTGTGTGTACGGAGCGGCGTAGAGAGAGAGAGAGGAGAGTTGAGTGAGCGTTGGGAGCGTTCCCCGTGCGCGTTGCGTTGAGCTGCAGCTCCGCTTCAGTGACGTCACAGCGGCTCCCTGCACGCCCCCCCCCCCCCATAGACCGGACACGTGGAGGTGGCTGCCAACACCACAGGTAACAATCATCTTGCCGGGCCGACGTCGTGACAGAAACACACAACAACAACAACAACAACCGCCATTCGCCACTAAGTGGCGGTGACGTCACCACGACGCTTGTGCCAGGCCATGTGCACCTTGAGGCCACGTGAAGTGTCGAACGCCCGCTGGCAAGAGGTCACAGGGCAGACCCAGGTGCCACGGGTCGACTGACCGAGATGACCGAGATGACTGGCTGATGCACCACCTGTGCCCCCTACTGTACCAACTTGCTGTGCTTTATCTATCCGGCGCTCCGCTCGTTGTTGTGAGCGTCGCTCCTCCGCCCTCCGTTGTTGTTGGAGGGCGACTGCACACACACACAGAGATACCACCTACCAACCCCTCCCCCCTCCCCAACCATATCAATTTCTGTGGTCATCCAGCACAGCGAATGGAACGTATAACGACTCAATTCCCGATTCGCAAATACGATGGAGGCATCGTCGCAGCAAAGCTGTCAACCGATACGGTTTAGCCGTACTCTTGAAGAGGGGAATTTAGTTTTCGGGTCCATACGGCGTACATCCGTTTCAATACGGGCATTTTTTTAAAATATGTTTTCTATTTTTCTGTGTGTTTCTCCCTTGTGATGGGACATTGTAGGATGAACTTTGAGGTTGATGAGGGTATGGGGTGACCAATACGATCTGAATTGGTCTGTAGTAAGGTAGGCACTGACAGGTAAGTCACTCCACTACTCCTGATGCAATCCTCTGGCTCAAGCACTTCAATGTAAAATTGTAATACTGGTAGGAACCTCCTGGTTACACCAGCCCACAGGGGATTATTGTGTCCGTCCGTCCGTCGTGCAGGGAGGGGCTGGGTGAGGAGGGAGGGGCTGGGTGGGGAGGGGCTGGGTGGGGCTGGGTGGGGAGGGTGGGAGGGAGGGGTGGGGCTGGGTGGGGAGGGGCTGGTCATCCCGTGGTTCCCTTATAAAACTCAACGTTTAACCTACTCACGCCGGCTTGTGCCCGCCCTTACAGTCGGGCATATTTGCAGAATACACCACGCCGCCGTTGACCCTGCCCATTGACCGAGCAACCCAACGTTCCTACCAGCTCCCTCCGCAGGAATGTGTTAAAGTCGCACTCGTTGCTTGCCACAAACATGGCCCACAATCGCTTGCTGATCTCTCCGCAAGGAGCATAACCCATCGTGCGAACTCCGGTCATCCTCGCAGCGACTGCTTTTGGCGAACCGTCGAACAGAGACGGTGGTCGCCGCGTCGCGCGCTTTCGGATGCGCTTCTGCGGCCGTCTGGAACGCTCCTCCTTCCGATATCAAGAAGCCACTGGAGCTATGCACTTTTAAATGGAGATTGAAAACTCAATTTTTTCGAACTGCGTTTTTGTGTGTTTAATTTGTCCTTCTCCCGCACCTCCGATGAGTGTGGTTGCCTACGTGCGGTGCGAACGAAGTTCAACATACGTGCATTGTAATCTGTGATGACAGAAAACATGACGAACATTGAGTTCAGGTCTACAGCCCCGTTATAGCCTATTTTGACTGTTGGGGCAATTGCTGTTAGCAAGCACCTATGAAGACCGACACGGCACACGAGGGGTTGGTGTGGTACAACATCACGCCAGGCCGCCTTTGTCTCACCGGTGCTGATGTACACACACACACACACCGCACAAGTACTGGTGTATCACGATTAAAGATGAGGCGACCTATCGGAGGTCTCGAACCGGTTCGGGATAATCGCCGCTGATGTTGGCCGCGAGCGGGAATCGAACTCAGGCCGCCAGGTTCGTAGGGCAACGCGTTGGCCGTTGCACTCCCGCTCCCCACATTTAAGAGTGACAACCCACAGACAAAGACCCCCCCGTGTAGCCTTAACATACTTTTGTGGCAAGTTACGGTGACAAAACAAAGACACACGCTCTCCTCCAGCTGTCACGGATTGCTGGGGGAGGGGGGGGGGTCCTTTTAGCAAACAAGTCACGTCACCTTGGCGATATTTCAAACTGCAGAGATGTTGTAACAATCCACGGTTAGTATATAACACATACGCTTGGAAATGCTAATGCACTGCACACTTTGACAGGAGAGATGCAACGTTTAGAGCCAGTCAGGTAAGTGTGCTCACGTTCGAAATCCTCACACCTGCTTCGCCATCACCTCCAGGTGCACGAAGATGTAACCCCGTCTCTGTACGTACGTTGAACTTCTTTCGCACCGTACATAGCCAACCGCGCCAATCGGAGGTTAGCCTGTGACTAACAACGCGTTTCCGTGAAGCAATCGTAATTTTTCCCCCCCAGAAAGAGGGACCTTAAACAGATAAACAAACGTCATTTTGGTCAATAACTCTTAGCACACGGAAAAACACCTCTAAGATTCTAAACAAGAAAACATTGTGCAGTCTGCGCCCTGTGATATCTGTCGTGTTTATGTTCTTGCATATGGCAAACATGTTCAGGAGTTAAATGCCAATCCGAGGTCTGCTTTAGTCACGATGAGAGGGCTTCAGCGGTTGCTAGAGTTGTGTTATTCCTCCTGATCCATTGAAGGAGCACAGACTGCAGCGGTTTATAGTCCATAACTTGGATTGCATGGCCACAATATATGCACTGTACGTTGAACTTCTTTCGCACCGTACGTAGCCAACCGCGCCAATCGGAGGCGGGGGGGGGGAAGGGACAACGAAGTAAACACAGAACACAGTTCTAATGAAATTAGTTTTCGAACTAGATTTAATAGCGCATAGCTCCAGTGGCTTTATAATCTCGGAAGGAAGAGCATTCCAGACGGCCGCAGAATCGCATCTGAAAGCGCGCGATGCAGTGACCGTCTTTGTTCGATGGTCAGCCAAAAGCCGCTGCGAGGATGACCAGAGTTTGCGCCTTCGTTTCTGCTCCTTGACGAGATCAGAAAGGTATTGTGGCTCATTTGTGGCAAGCACTTTGTGTGTAATGTGTGCGACAAATCTCATTACTGTGGCGCTTGCCTTTAATTTCCCATTCACGGAGGAGATGTGTTTTGTATTTAACGTGTTTAAAGTTCCATGCGTTAGGATTGCGGTTGCTCTTGGATACGCAAGTGATTGGGTGATCATGAATTCATTTAAAATGGCATCGAATGACGAGTGATTCGATGCTCTCTACTGGAGGCCCCTTCCGCCAGCAAAGAAATTGCAGGGCTGCACCTTCATCCTCTACGTTGCATATGAACAAGCAGCATGTGACGCACCGCCCTGGCACGCAGCCGCATGAGTGCGTGCAATAGGGATGAACGGGCAATTTCAAGAGAGAATCTCAAACTTAAACGCCACAATCTTCGTTTCTCCGCACAGTTGTATTATGCATGGCGCTTTTGTGAATCCATTGCCGAATGAAAGCGTTCCCACGTCTTTCAGTAACGCAGGATTTGTTCGACCATACATCAGCCATGCTGGTGAGTGTGGGTGAAGGGGGTTGGTTCCCAAGGCTGGTTAATTTCTCATAATCCCTTGGTGTTGTTTTAGCCGCGGCTGCCCGGAAATTGAACTCAAGGTAATGGCGTTCAAAGGGAAATATGCTAACCACCGTGCCACCGCGAAACCCCACACGCACATTGTATTTCCCCGTTTGTACACCCTAATATTTTTAGATTGATTCATGTAACGGTTATGCACTTTGTCTCGTTTTATAACCCTCCATGAGAACTGTTTTTACATTAGGTCCATCAAATGTTAGTGGGGTTTTTTTTTTACTCACGAGGTTTAATTAGCGAATATGCACAATTGAAATATGGAGTAATCCTAAATTAAGTGGGCTCGGATAGGACACGTCGTGAGAAGGGATGAAGGGCCTTTGGTCACGAATAGTGGCAGAGTGGCAGCCGAGGAAAGTGAGTGCGTCGAAGAGATGTCGTCGACCGCCAAGATGAAGCGATGAAATCAGCTCGTGTGCCGCACTGGGTGGATCGGGGGGGGGGGGGGGAGGCCTTCACCAGGAGTCGATTGATCGTGGCTGATGGATATTTAAAAACTTTCTCGCCCACTGTGAGCAACACCTTTGGGCGTAAGTAGCAGCCTCTTAAAGGTTATATGTAGGATATGTGTTTTATTCTGTAACTCAGCAGCCCAAACATCATTTGGACGTGACCGTCTGTACGTTCCTCCAGACAGTCAGCCAGCAAAACTTTTGATATTACTGCACGTCCATTGGACATGACAGCTCGTCATTCCCTCCTCCAGCCAGCCAGCGAGCAAAACGTTCCAATACCTACAATATGAAAACACAAACAAGCGTGTGGCTCGTACAGGTTGCAGAGTGAGGAGTTACCGGGGGTGTGAGCGGTGCACGTGATGCCCACGTATCCAGGTTTAACACACCAACCCATAAATCCATACACACGTACATACAATCAGGGGTTCGTTCAACGAAAAGGACACATTTATTATATTGTTTTAAACTATCGCCGACTGACATTCTGGAAAGATTGAAGTTCATAGAGAATACGAAGTAGTCTTGGGAGGTGAGGTTTGGTGGTCGTTTGTAGATGGTGGACTCATGATGTGCATTGAGCCATTGGCTGGACATCTCTATAAAGGATCTTTATAGCTCATCGGATTCCTCCAGTATATATACATAATCTGATTCTGACTTTTGAACACTTTAAAATGCAGTCCAGGCGTTAATGTGCAGATTATCTGACCGAAGTGCATTGAGTGTTCTAAGTCTATCAAAAGACACCTCGGGGCTTAACAGTTTACCCAATGTGACATTAATTAAGTGGATTGTGAAAAATTATATAGCCATTTTTTTAACAGCCTGGACATTCCTGCATGGGTGAATGCATTCTGCATTCCTGCATGGGTGAATGGGGCTATGTGGAATACTAACTGCTATTTTTAAAAATAGCTTTGCCACACATCTGGGAATCGGCTACAC